TCTCAATAATCTCTCCACCTTTTTGTAGAATGTCAACTGTTCTTTAAGATTAATCACCTGTTAATTTAAACAAGCTGTTAACTACAATATAATCAACCATATATGTTGTACGTTTTTGTATGTATGCAAGAAAAAGAGAAAAGCCCAAGTAAACTTCATGTGTGGACTCAAATTAATAGCATTTACTGAGTTGATGTCTGACATATCACTTGAAAAATCTAGTGGACCCATGAAGTTAGGTGCATCCACCCGCATAAATAAAATGAAAATTGTCTCAATTTAAGCTTACAAGATTTAGGTCAACACCATCTAGCACTACTCCCTCCTAACCTGCTAAACTTCATGACTGCTAGCTGAAGGTCATCCGATTGGATACTTTTTCTGATTTTGACTTCAAATCCAACTGTATTTATATACGTTATCAGTAATAAATTCTATTATTTAATTTATAAAATGAATATATTTTCACTAAAAAAATAAAATGTCGGAACAGTAATTAATGATATAGAAACAAATTAAAATTAAAAATATATAATAATAAGAATCCATATATAATTAAAAAAAAAATGACCCATTTAATATCTATACATATATATATATAGACACACGTATCGAATACATACTTGTCCATTAAAGGTTTCAACAAGAGCACCTGCCCCCCCAGATGCAAAGTTCACTCCATATTCATATTGGTGATTGCCCGGTCGTAGAAAAGGTGGGATCAATGGCAGCTTTGCATATTCAGCTACACACATATATACGTAAAACAAAGGTCGTGATCATACTATATATACATACATATTTATAGAGAGAATACACTGGTTAACTTGTAACAAGAAAGCCCAAGTAAAAAAAAATTGTTTCTCACCAATAAAATCAGATATCAAACGGCCATCGGAGAATCTTCCGGTGGGGAACCTGAAGAATGTTCTTCCGTAGGGGAAGAAGTTTGCTTGGTCAAGAGTTGTAGTGTTGATATAATTATTGTTGCCGGCATCTAAAATGGAGTCTCCGAAGATGAATAAACCAGCAACCTTGTTATGAACTTCATCTTTGCTGCAACTTATTGGATGGATCAAGAAGATAATTACATGAAAATACAAACTCAACAAGGCAGAATTCATTCTTCCTTCTGTTTCAGCAGCCTTAATTTACTATCCAAGGCAACTCGTACGTATAGATATAGAGGATAAAACTGGCCATATATGTGTTTGTATATATGTATATATGTGCTGTCATCTGTGTCTATTTTGTCATGAAAATGACTCAACGTTGTTGAACCAGAGGAAACCATTAATATATATATTATTAAATGGACTCTTGTGTGTACGTATATACATATATATTATTAACTAGATTCAAATAACTGAAAAAAGACAAAGGAGATAGAGATCGACAATTTAAAGTCAAAGCTGAGGGGATTTAAAAGTCTTGTTTGGCTCATTATTCTTCAAATTGTATATTACCAGCATGAAACATGTTTCTTGATTATGTGATCAAGAAAAAACTGGGCATTGAAGTTTCTCCTTCTATTTTCTGATAATATACTTACCTGCATAAAAAAAATTATGCTAGATATTAAACCGTGTTTCCTTGTTTTGATAGTTATAACTTTTATGTTTTATTTAAATATAAGAATTTGAATTTCATTG